TATTTAAAATAAATTTTGATATCAAATGTTAAGTGAAAACTCTCAAAATAACTTTGAATACAATTTTTGCATACATTTTACCTTACTCCAGTCATAGATAGACATGTTTTCATGAATTTTAGCCCATTCTAGCCTCTTTTTAGCCATCGCTGGTGTAACCTTTTGTTTTTTTCGTGGACGACGACTTTTCAAACCACTTTCAAAAAGCCTTCTCCGAACAGTAACTGGAGAAACATCGACTCCTGCTTCATTAAGTTGTTGACACAACACCTTAGATGTGGCTCTTCTGTTATTAAGTGCCATTTTAACCAGATTTCTTTGTGTCCTTGGGGTTATTTTTCTTTTACGACCACAATTCCCTATTCTGTGGTGCTCATATGGCTCTTGATTATCAACACATTTTTTTATTCTGCTTACTGTTTTTTGACTTACACCAACTTTTAAAGCTATTTGAGTTTGTGTGTAAACCTTTTCACCCAACAAAGTTTTTACAGCAGAATATTTTTTGGGGGAAATATCATTTTTTTTGCCCATTGTTAAAATAAAATAATTTCACCAGTTTTACTGTACAATTCCTAAACAAAAACAATTTATTAGTAAATTCGAATTAAGTTTTTATACATAAAGTAATTTTGTAAAAAAAATAAATTAAAAGTAATTAAAATTACTTTAAAATGACACCCAAACAACTGCTGCAACGTTTTGCTACTAAAGGAAAAAAAACATGCGCTGACTTGCCTCCCAATATTGAAAACGCTCTAACAAAAAAAAAGTGACGTTGCCAAATATAAATAGTATGTAAAAACATTAGAAAAATGTCATATTTTATACTTAAAATCTTTTAACTGTGATACTTGTGAAAATGTAATAGATATTTGAACTCAATCACGGAAAATAATTTTCTTAAATCTATAGTCTAATAATTTGAACACGTCTGTATATATATATATATATATATATATATATATATATATATATATATATATATATATATATATATATATATATATATTTCAATTCCTTTTCAATTTACTTTAATATTTAATTTTTATTTTAACCCCTTATTTTAATAGTATACATATATATATAGAAATATAAAATAAAAGAGACTTAAACTAACTCACCCCAGCTTAAAAATTCCCATTTCATTTCAACATAAAAATCATCTGCCTAAACAAAAATTTATAATTTATTTTAACATAAAAAACTTATTCAACTCTCACAAAAGTGATATTAAACATGAAGCAAATCCAGAAACAACTTGCAATGAAGTTTAATAATTTGTAATGCAAGAATTATTTTAGATTAAGTTAAATAATAAAAAAATTTTACATTAAAAAAAGTTTTATTAACTTATTTAAAGCAATCATTATTTTTATCAGTCAACAAATTATACAAAAAACAAAACAAACAACAATGGATTAAATATAGTTTATGAAAAAGAAACATTTTGTTAAAAAGCATACAACTATTAGCCAACTCAAAAGTTAAAAAACTTAATTTTCGAACTTTCAGAGTTTTGTTTATTATATGATGTAAAGGCTTGCACAACAAAACATCAAAACAAAAACCTTGATATATTTATGTACACTAATCAGGGCCTTGGTGGGAAACAAGAGTTTTAGTTCTCGCTTCTTGTCTTTGTTTTACAAACATCATTTTTTTTCACATTATTTTACAAACATCAGGTATGGGTATTGCAATTGAATTTGGTATGGTAAAAAATACAAATGAAAATCTTTTTAAATTACAAAATGAGTTTTCAGAAGGTTTAAGAGGCATTTTTATGATAATAATTATATTACCATCAATATGTATATAACTAGAAACTTCTAATTCTAATTTATAATAACTTCTATTATTATTATTACTAGTAATTTAAATTATTTTTTTAAACAATAAAATTACTTAAATTACTAATAATATAAATTATAAAATCATTAAAACACAAATTAAAAATTACTTAAATACATTAAGTTACTAATTGTTAACATACCTCTTCTAATAATTCTAGAATCTCAGTAATACCACCAGATTTTAAAGTAAATTGTTGATGTTCACGATGTTGTATAATAAGAGATAATAACTCAGGATCACCAGTTCCAACAGCTTCTTGAGTTGCTGGATAAGTTTGCAAAACAGAAAAACATGTAATAATGTTGATCAGATGATAATGATAATATTTAACAATTATTTTAATTTGTATTTGGTTACAATTAAAACAAGAAATAATAAAAAAAATTACCAAATGATTTATATGAAAGTCTTTTAACAAAATTTAAAATAAAAATAATTTTCTGTGCAATACAAAAATATATAGATATAAAACTTTATATACAGTATGTATAAAATATTAACACTTACCATTCCAACCCTGCTTATCAGTTGCTGATGCATCACATTTGTGATTAAGTAAAATCTTCACTGCATCAGTATGACCTAATGCTATAGCAAGCAAGAGAGGTGTTCTTCCATGTGGGTCAACAGCTTCATGATTATACTGTAAATATATATATATATATATATATATATATATATATATATATATATATATATATATATATATATATATATATATATATATATATATATATATATATATATATATATATATATATATATATATATATATATATATATATAGGCCTTGGCAGGAATAAATGAGCACGAGAGGGGTAGGGTGTCCCATGCTTATCACTGATAAAAATTTTTGTGGATAATTTTGATGCAGTCCCTCTTAAAAGTTTCTCAATGGTCCCACAACAATAACTAAATTTTTATGATAATTGAAAAATATTTAGGGGTCCCCCAAAGGTCTAGAATTTTTGTATAAATGGGAAAAAAATTGACCATGTAGAGTCTGCACTCTTCTGGAGAAGGCTCTCGGTCGCAATGTGCTATGGATGGCATGTCGCCACCACATGTTTGAGGTGTTGTTGTCTGATGCATATGGAGTGTGTCTAGGTCCGTCAACTGGATCGGATATTTTGATTTTTAAAAGATTCAGAGAGAAATGGTCAGAGTTGGTCCATCGTCAGCCTATGCCACAATCAGTGCCATTGGTGAGTGCAAGTGACAATCTGAAGGAGTTAATTGCTGAGCAGCTTCAACTTAGCCATCCATGAGATGACTATCGAGAATTTCTCAAGTTCGTGGCTTATATGATTGGTTTAAAATGTGCTGGGGCAGCACCAGTTCGCAAGCCTGGTGCCATTCACAGAGCATATTGGATGGCCAAGGCAATTTATGCAATGAAGATAGAATTACTTTTTGATGGTAATGAAGCTGTTATACAGTTGACTGCTCATGAATTACAGGGCATTTAGAGATTTAATAGATTTCTTGTCAATGCACAGTGGGCCAGATGGTGGAAAAAAGTATTTAAAAAACATTCTCAAAAATGACATTATTATATACCATTTTATAGCTTAAACATCTGGCTTTTATAAAATGTATATATTTCTGCATAACTATCATGTCGTTTGCATTTTTAACTGTTTTTAAAAAAGGTATTTTTTAATTTTTTAATTTTTTTAATTTATTTAATAATATTTTTCGTGTTACTAATAAGCAATAAAAATTTATTAATATTTAGAGCGTCATTTTTTTATTGCATAATTTAATAAAACTAAGTACTATCTATCAAATGGTTTATTGCAAAGTTATTTTGCACGTAATTTATATCAAATAAATTGATTTCTAATGATTGCGTATTTAAAGTACTTTTCTTAGTGAAAACTTCACTTAAATAATAAAATACTTTTGCGCTCCAAGGTCCTCCAGAAATTTGAGACTTGAAATATCTTGTCTAATATGTACATAATCGATATATATTTTACCTATTGTCGACGGATGTCGACTGTGTCTCTATACATAATTTTTATGAGTTGCATGTTTGGGACAGGGGGGCCAACATTCTGGTTTTTTTTGTGTTCCCAGGCTCCAATCATTGTAATTTTTCAGCAAAACATCTTTTTTATCACATTAAAATGAACATGTATGGTTGTCCAAATGTCTCATGAATAATATATTTTTTGTATTTGTAGGATGAAAATGAAATATTTTGATATCTATGCATTCTTAGTGCACAAGCGTAATAATCTACAAATATCTGACTGTGGTATTGAGGGAACACTTATTGAGGCAATGAATTTGGATTGCAACAAGAAGCAATTAGGAACTATACTAGTGCATCTAAGAGATAGGTGGCGCAAGTCAGATAGCAACATGGCTCGATTTGAAAAAAAGAATGAAAAATGGCTGCAAAGCCATGTTCCTGAAGATATAAATATAACACCATTACCTATTGGAAGGCCAATTAAGGCAAACTTTGATGACTACTCTAGTAAAACCAAAAAACATAAAGTTAGTCACTTAACTGAAATGTATTCTGCTTCTGCGTTGCAATTTGCTTCAGAAATTAAAAGGAGAAAAGAAAATCCAATTGAAAAAACCTCAAAAAAAGATTTTAGAATGTCTAAAGATGAAGCTCTTTGTCTTCTTTTAGATGCTAAATTAACAAAAGCTTCCTACCAAATTATTAGAAATCAAGCAGTTGAAAAGGGATTTGATATATATCCGCCATATAATGATGTTCGAGATGCAAAGTTGTTATGCTATCCTGCAGATATATCTGTCTCAGATTTTTCAGCTGAAATAAAACTGCAAGCTTTGGTGGATCATACATCAAATAGAATATGCCAGGCACAGTATGATGTCCTTAGCACTGAAGGCACTCCAGATAGTCTTTCTCTGAGATACAAAATAGGCTTTGATGGTGCCACAGGACAGTCCATATATAAACAAATATCGCAAGAAACAGTAACAAGAAATTTAAACGATGAGCAGGCACTTTTTATTACTTGCCTAGTACCATTGGACTTGTGTTGCTTTTCAAATGGAAAACGTTACCCAGCTTGGCGAAACCCACGACCATCATCAACAATGTACTGTAGACCTCTGCGTTTTAAATTTGAAAAAGAAACGGCAGCAGTTTCTAAATCAGAGGAGGATCTCATTAGGCTTGAGATTTCAAACTTGAAAGATACTGAAGTTGATATAAATAACAAAAAAATCAAAATACATCATATAATACAAATTACTATGATTGATGGAAAAGTTCACACTGCTCTTTCAGATGTTACAAATTCTAGTCAATGCTGTACTATATGTGGGGCAAGTCCCAAAGTAATGAATGATATTGAAAAAATGATTTTGAAAAACGATATGACAGGCAGTTATTCATATGGTTTATCATCCTTACATGCTTGGATACGTTTTTTTGAATGTTTATTACATATTGGATATAAAATGACTTTGAAAAAGTGGCAGGCAAGAACAGTAGAAAATAAATCTAAAGTAAAGGCTCTGAAACAACAAATTCAAAATAGATTTAAAGATGAAATGGACTTGATAGTTGATATTCCGAAATCTAGTGGTAGTGGAACATCAAATGATGGAAATACGGCTCGAAGAGCATTTCAAAATGCAGAAAAGTTTGCAGAAATTTTAAATATTGATGTTGAACTGGTTCTAAATTTGCATATTATATTGGCAACAATTTCATGTGGTTTAGACATTGACACTGAAAAATTTGAGGCTTTCTGTTTAAAAACAGCTCGTCTTTACGTTCATCATTTTCCTTGGTACTATATGCCACAATCTCTGGACAAAATTTTAATTCATGGTTCTGAAATTATTAAAACTTTAGCATTACCCATTGGTATGTATTCTGAAGAAGCTCAAGAAGCGCGCAATAAAGACTTTCAAAACTATCGTGAACATTTTGCAAGAAAATCATCTCGTGTGAAAACGAACCAAGATTTGTTAAATCGACTACTGTGTACATCCGATCCATTTATTGCATCTCTGAGAAAGACAGCAGGAAGTAACACCAAAACGAAAAACTTACCATCAGGAGTTATTGACTTATTGATGTCATCCACAGATTATATTAGTTTATAGATGTGTCTTTTGTATTTTTTGTATTTAATCTTAATAATTTTGGAAATGTGTGTACTAATATTAAAGTGTGACTGTAAATTAAAACAAATAGTTATGCTCAATTATATTAGAATCATCAAATTATTTTAATTTGCAAAACAAGTTTAGAAACATTTGGCTAAAAAAACACTTTGGAACTAAGCATAAATATGTGTTTCTATGCAATCGTGGTTGCTATGGCAACCACCAAAAAACCATGCTTAAATTATAATCATCCAATTACTTTATATACAAATTTTTGAGGCCTATGGATGAAAGGAAAAAAAGTTATGACTTTTTTCCAAAAAAATGGGATTCTGGCCCACTGTGCAATGTCTACATTCAATCTTGGTTTTCAAGTTGAGCCATTGCTGATGCACCATTGAATGACATTCTATTGATTCAAAGGCTGCTTACGTATGAAGATGCTGCTTTGCAGACAAAAGGTTTGAAGATGATGAAGCGTCACTCCTGGTACCTCAGCCAAGAGCTAGCAACAGTTTCCTTGCTCTCTCAGCATATGTCTTCTAAAGAAAAAACCCAGCTTGTGTTGACAATGAAAAGTGATTGAGGATTGCATTTGCTCAAGTCTCTTCCAAAAACAACAGCGGAATTACTCATTTCTCAAAGTTTCTTCCTAGTTACTGCCATTGATGATAGCTTTCTCGATATTCCAGTGGAAGAGTGGCACAAAAACCATTCCTATCAGATGGGACGTTAACTTGTCAATAACTTGCCATGTGTTAATGATTGTGCTGAGCGGGGCGTTGCTCTCATCCAAAATTTTAATGCAGCAATAACAAAGAATGAAGAACAGAAACAATTTCTACTTCAGGTTGTTCAAAAACACAGACAAGACTTTTCCAAATGCAATTGTGACAATAATAAATTGTCTTTAATTGTGTTCAAACAAGCATAAAAAAGTTACATTTTCTATTGCTAAGTTTTAAAATATTTAAAGTTAAAATTGGCTTTGCTTGTGCTCGAAATCATATAAAGATGTGCTATAAACCAATTTTATTCTAAACTCTACCAGGAACTAATCATTTTTACTATATTTTTATGATCGATTAGACATGTGATCTGTATTCTGTAAACTCGATGATGTCGAGCCGTCAAATGCCATTAACGAAAATTCCACGACATTGCTAAAACTTTATGACCCTTGGGGGACCTCTAAATATTTTTCAAATGTAATAAAAAAAATTATGGGTTGTTAAGAGACTGCAAAGAAACTTTTAAGAGGTACTGCATCAAAAAATTTTAAAAAAAAAATTTTGGGACACCCTAGAGAGCGGTGAAAAGCTCTCTTAAAACGAACTTGGGGAGCTGTGCGAGCTCATTTTAAATTGAGGTTCAATTTTAATTTAATTTTTTTTTGCAACAACTGTATTTTTTAAAAAGCATTGCTGTATATCATGCAATTAATTTTTTTTTTAAATGACATTGTGTTTTTTATTTTAATTACAACGATAATTATATATATATATATATATATATATATATATATATATATAT